ACTAGTGGGGAAAGAAGGAAGAGAACTGGGTTTTGAGGCTATTTTGTGGCTGTTGAGGCAGTCTCCTTAAGTGAAGAAGGTCATTGCAGCTCCATAACGTGACATGAGATGTTCACTACTCTCTTCCACAATAAGGCCTTCAGCCTGTTTCTTCTGGCCTCTTTAGTGAAGGCCTGACATCATGGGCAGGAAGCTACAAGATGACCCTCTCTAAGTAAAGTAAGCAGAGGAGAATGACTTTCTGAAGGTAGTAACTTACTGTTGCAGCAAACACAATTCCAAAAGGGTACCATTGAAGCTGTATGCCTTGGAGGCAAAAGAGCAATCAAAAATGTCTGAAATAAAGGAAGAGGCATAGAAACCATCTAAAGTGTGAAAGAGAAGTAAGGACACAAAAACATTTCTCAGCTGAGAGAGTGCCTTCTCTGATGAGAAAGGACAGTGTTCCTAGTAATACAATCACAGCAATGGTCAAAGAGGAACTGAGGAAATAGGTGGGAGTCCACTAACAGTATATAAAAGAGGTGGATAGGTTCCTACCAAAACTTCCCAGCTCTGGGAGTTCCCCAAATTAGGCTTCGCACAGGTGTGATGCACGGAAACGATGAAAAACTCCAGATTTCCCCATTATGCCTTGGCTTAATATTTCTCTGAATCTGGGAAGCTTCAGGGCTCCCTCTGCTGGCCATGAACCAGCATAACTGCCCTGCAGGTCTAGTCCCAGATGTTACTGCAGCTGCCAGGGCCTTCATGAGCACCACCTGGTAGCCTTGCTGGAAGAGCTGTTTAAGAACAGGCTCTTACCTCCAGAAATTGCCTCAGCAACATCAGTCTCCAATTTGCTGTAGCCCATTCTTGTGCTTACATCTTGTCCCTGCTCCAGGTGCCCATTCCTGGTCATACTGACTTCCCAGCAGATTCCTTATCTTTGGCCTTCTCTGATTACACTCCTGCTTTTCAGACTACACTACACTGAAATGATTATTTGAAGCTACTTTGTGACTTAAGATAAACAGCATCTAGGGAAGATATATTCAGAGTTAGCATTGATGCAGATGCATAAACATTTTTAACTCTAGTGGGACCTACTATGGAGAAATTTACACTCGAAGAGATAGGGCTGTTGGATAAAAATTCTGTGGTTCTGTGTTCTCCCTATTGTTTAACCATCGTTCAACAAGCTGGAATTCCTTTCTGCCTGCATCCACAGGCAAGTGTGGAGGCTACTAATAGGCAGATTTAGCTGGAGATCTGTTGATCTGTGTCACATGGTACTATGGTGACATCTGTGTCACTGTTTCATCGTTTAGGTGAAGTAGATTTTATGAAGCTATAATTTGCCGATGATGAAATTTCGCATTACGGTGTGGAAGTACATTTGCGTAATGTTTGCATCAAATTCTTTGGTAGAATAATGAGTAATTGGTTCATAATATTATTTTCATGCATTCTATTTCAAGCCTTAGATTATATTGGAAACGTTAAGAGCTTCCTGTCTTCCCTTGAATCTGCAAATACAAAAAATTTATTTTCTGTATACAAATACAAACTATGAGGACATATCTGAAGAAGGCTTTTTTGTTGCTTTTAGCATCCCTCACTAACCTCAGTTCATTCTCAGCTCTAGCTATCCTGACATCATCCCTGCAATTCCGTGCTAGGGGCTTGGGTTCTTCCTTTGTAACCAGGCCTTCCTTCTACTTCCTATACATATCCCTTTTGTTTTTAGGTAATCCGTAAGCTTTTTATGAAGTCACATTGGCTTCTTCTGTAGTTGTCTTCCTTTATTCTTTGTTGGAATCATTTGTAATTGTGTTCTTAGAACTTCCTTTTTTAAATTCCCACCCACCTTGGACTGCTGTCCTTATTAGTCATTTCCCATGGGACTTTACTTATAATGATTCTGAGTTTATTAAATACAGCTTTCTAAAGTTAGAGTGTGTGTTTGGCTACACTTGGATTTTACTTCCTTTAAAATCAATAATTCAAGTTTGGCATGGTCACTTTCCCCAAGTTCCCATAACTGCAACTTTGTCCACTAGGGCTTCTGTGTTGGTGAGAATCAAGTCAAGGATAGCCATTCTGCTAGCTCCACTTTCTGTAGAAGGAAGTTATCTGCAAGATAAGTCAATAATTTCATGCTGGGCCATGTTTGGCAGAATGACTCATCATTACCAAACTTCATTTTCACTTTGCACAGTTTCAGACTTGTATATAAACCAGGTATCATGGCTTAAAATCTGAAATGCCACTGAACAAACTAGGGTTTATAATTGGTTTTAGCAATCAACTAGAGTTTATTTTAAAACATTCCTTGTTAGCATGTAATGACAAGCTTCATACTGAATAAAGTGAAACTAAATGCTGGCTTGTTTCTCCTTGTGGCTGAATGATGGGAGTGTATACAAGCCTAACACTTTGCTTGGGCTAATCTCTGCTTGTGCACATACTGTTAAACCACAGTGTAACATTACATGGAAATCTTCCCAGCAGGTACTTCCGTAATAGTTGTTTTACTGTGGAATTGAAGTGCCTTATTCACTTACTTTTTATAGGGTATCAGATACCATAACTTAATTTATCAGCTGTTGCACTTGAACCCATGACTGTATGCATCATTACAACCTTCTCAGTACACTTATCTACCTACTTTTCTGTCCATCTTTTTAGACATTAAAATATTTTTCACATCTCAACAGTAATGCACCATTGTTTGGAAAATACCAACTTTGTTCCAAATAATGAAACACACAAGAGAAAATACACTCACAACTATGTTCTGGACCTGAGAAATGGTAAATTTTTGCTTAGATAACTTGTATAACTTCCTGATTAAACATGATGTACCATTGACACCTTTTGAATTTAGTTTTGGACATGGTCAGCAATGAGTGACTCACTCATAAGTTTATTACTTGCTCAGATGTGTTGTGTCTTTCCTGATTTTTTTTAAAGTGTGGTTTTATTTTATTTAAAAAACACTTTTTGAATAGCATGCTTAATACAACCCTTAGGAGATAAAATACGCAGTAGCAACTCATGGGAACTATAATTCCATCTATAGGCAGGATGATTATGATGATGAAAATGATGATCACTCCCCACTTCCGAGTTGTGAGACATTCCAGAAGCATCACTGGTTGGTTTTGTTGAGAGAAAACTGGTGGCTTGCAGTGAACTGTTTCCTTTAATTACAAATGTAGAATCAAGCATATTGGAGGCAAATACCTTTTTGATTTTATTATATGTAAGCTGCCATGGGAGCCTTTTTGGCTGAAAAGCACTATAGAAGTGCTACAAATGAACAAAATCTATCTTCAGTAGACAATTGGTCCCTAGAGAGAAATGTATGCAGCTTCCCAAGGTTGTATTCCCAGATTCACCTTACTTGAGCCCAAACTCAAATCTCTCTCCCTCCCATCTGTCTTAATTCAAACTCTAAACTGCCTTTTCCTGTCTAAGTTCAATTTCTGCTAGTTCTTACATTTCAAAAACTGAAGAGATATTTCCAGCTATCAGGTTTCAGTCTCCTGCCTTTAGCTTCCACTAATGATACATCCATGAGCATCCTGGCCTTTGTTAGCAATCAGCCTAGCAATAAGAGGCATTTGAATATTTCCACCAATTTTAATGTTATGCTAGGTGGCACCATTTTGCTATTATTTCTGTTATTTTGTATTAAATGATTTTGTATAATAAATAACAGTATATTTTATGTGTAGTACTTTCTTATTAAGCATGCTATAATGATTATGTGCTGGGGACATTCCGGTGTTCATTTCATCACAACTACTGACCTTATTTTGTGCTGTGGATGGAATACAAGAGGTGTTGTACAAGTACTTTCACAATTGGTAATAAATATACACTGAGGATGTTGCACTGAGACATTGGGGGAGATTGGTGTTTTGTCATCAATGGGCGTCATGATATAAATGGTTCAACAAACAAAATATGCATTAAAGGGGCATGGCAGTGATAGGTTATTTCTTTTTTTGAACCACATTCATATGTGATGGGTGAGTCTAGAAGGTAGTATGGTGCAAACTCACCCAGCGAGCTTAATGGCTAAGCAAGAATTTGAACCCAAGATCTTGAAGTCAGTCCTTTACCCACTATGCAGCACTGACTTTCTAATGTAGGTGAAATACCACTTGCCAAAAGTATTATGGAAAATCTATCAAGAAGAAAGTTCGTGTCAGCTTGTGTCACAATAAATTCATTGATCTTTAAAATGTCTCAGAATGCACTTCTGTTTGTGACAAGACTAATATGGCTGATATTATTTGGTTTATATGTACAAGATAGCAACCAAAGGTAAAATGTCTCATTTCCTCCACACTGGTCAAATAAGTTCCATAAAAGCTGCATCTGTTTGTCTCACTATGTGTATGTTCTGTCTGCTGTTTGGTAGCATTTTCTTAGAATAAGACACCTGCAGGAGACCCACAAAGATAACTCTCCTCTATATGCTTTCTATCATACCTATAAAAAGTTTGCAGCATTTATGTCTGCTCCACATAAATGTTCACTGTTCAGAAGTTTAGATTTTTATACTGACACATTAATTCCTTAAATGTGTTTATCAGAATACAACTACATTTTGACTAAGGTTAAATTTACATAATACATACATATGAAATAATATGAGAGATCTTACATATTTTCCTTTAAATTTACATACACCTTATCTAACAAAAAGACAAAGGATGACCTTTCTCTCCAAAAGCATTGTGTTACTGCAAGTTAAGCAGCTCCATACTTTTACCCACCCCACAACTATCTAATATTTATTTCATGTTTGCAGTGCACTGGATTCTAAACAGAACTGAAAAGTGATCCTACCCCCGCCTGAATGGTTGATAATATCAGGACAATAGGACAAAGGCGGCATAATAATAAACTCATGCAATATGAATTCCTGTATGTTTAACATGTATAGTGTGTATTATATATTCATTAGAAGTAAACTTAGTATTTTAATTTAAAATATTTTACAGTGGTCCTATGCTTTAGAAAAGCCAAACACTGGAAGCATATTTAATATTGCTTGGTCTACTGATGGCACACAAATAGCTGGGGCTTGTGGAAATGGACATGTGATATTTGCTCACGTTATAGAACAGCACTGGGTATGGAAGAACTTTAGAATAACACTAACTAAAAGAAGAACCATGGAGGTATGTACTGGATGTTTCAAGCTTTGTGCGTAGCAGAACATTTATTAAATATACGGCTTTCAACTCTGGTGAGCAGAAAACCTTGAGAGAAAGTAACTGGTGCTTTCTGAAAACTATTTTTGAGTTATAAGTTGACTGAGTGGTATCAGTATCTTTTGCAAATTAAATAATCACAAGATTTCAATATTCCTAGTATAATTAGCAGATTGGTTAATATTATAGCATGAGGTGAATGTTCACAACCCACATGTCCTACTGAAGTTAAGAAGGCTACTCTGGAATAAATTGTCTGGGCATTGTATCCCAAATTACTGCAGTGGCTGCAAATTCAGCATCAAAAGCTTTGTTTATCTAGAAATTTACAGCAACTATCAACAAAGGTGCAGCTGTGGGAGCAATAGCATAATAGCCCATGCACAGATAGTCTGGGTGTGCTGATAAAAAAAAGTTTGCCTTGTTTATAGCTGTGGTTTACCAATACAGCAGCTGCAGCATTGTTGCTTGTCACAATCATGCAAGGCTAACCACATGTCTGGTTTTTGTTTTTGTTTAATTATGGCAAAAATATGACCCAAAATTAGCAAAATTGTGCTAACTGGAGACTCGTTAGCCAAAATATTTCAGCTCTAGGTTAAACTTGTTTTCAGCTAGGTAAAATACCAAGTTACAAGTTGTTTTTATTACTAGATTCTGTTGCCTTAACCAGGGAATTTTCAAGCCTTCATTAGCCTGCTAACAACAGAGGTGCAACATTAAATCCAGTTAAATATTTTTAGGCAACAGATTTGGTACTTTAAAAAAATTAAACTATAGTAAGTGATATATGACCTCAAATGTGTAGGAGAATTCTAAATTTAGGTTATCTTGTTTTGAATTAAAAACTGAGTCTGAATATCTGAAAACAAATGCATAAATGGGTATTTTTACCTGTTAAATTTTCTGTCTTCCATAACCAGACACTGACTCATAACATCCCACCCAGAGGACAGGGTGATAATATACAATTTCTGTTGTTACACATTTTCTCAATTACATCTTCAGTATTAAGAGTTCAGGCCAGGCTTTTCAGTCCTAGGTGCCCAACATTAGGTTCTCAAATCTATAATTAAGCACCTAAATATCTTTTGGTCTGAAGTGAATCCTTCTTTGATGCTTAATATATAATTGAGAAAACTTGCAACAACAGAAATTCTATATTACCCATCTGTCCACTGGGTGGGATGTTATGAGTCAGTGTCTGGGAATATAAAAGTCAAATTGGCAGGTAAAAATCATATTTTTGCATTCATTTCCAGACATTGAATTGTAATGAATGACTGTCCAGTAATCCCTGAAGCCTTTGTTATATTTAGTTTATACTGCTTTTTGGGAAAAGTATACATTCAGTGGGATTTTCACCAACACAGTAAGTAGATGACCTGTGTATAATTTAATACTTCTGTGGGGTTCCCTGAAAACAGAAGCTCCTGTCTATCTCCCACCTTGGATTTGGTAATAAATACAAATGCAAAGTTAGCATCACATTTTCAACTCCTCATAATAACTTTAGCTCATTTTCTTTAAATGGTTCTATAAGTATAATGCAAGAGTTGACTAGAACTGCAGTGACCATCCCTCTGTTTACTGCTTATGAATAGTTCAGTCACGTGACCCTAAGAACTATGAATTCCCATTTATAGTTCCTTGTCTGTGATGGGGTGGATGGGAGAAGTTATTCCATTTTGACAGCTTTCATTTTCTGAATGTCAACTTTTCATGAATTTTACCCCTAAACTACTAATATAATAAATAAGGTTCCAATATGGTCTCTAGGCTGATGGTTTAGAATCTGTTAAATAAAATTAGGTATCTGGGCCTTAGAAACTTTCCTGAATAGATGGGAAGTATAGTTTCTATGAATTCTCCTTCGTCAGCTGCACTGGCTGCCTGTTCCAGTCTGAGCTGAACTCAAGGTCTTGACTATGACATATAAAACTTGGGGCCGCATTATCTTAGAGAACACCTTACTCCTTATATTCCTGCCCATTGTTTAAGGTCATCAGTGGAGGCCCTCCTACATGTTCCTCCCCCTGAGGAGGTTAAGGGGGAGGTTGCAAGAAGGAGGGTTCTTTCTGTGGTTGCATCCCAAGTATGGAATGTGTTACCATCAGAGTTTCGTCATGTGCGTACTCCATTGAGTGTTTGATGCCTGGCAAAACTGTTGCTTTACTGGCGCACTTTTGGCACCACTTAGATTATTTTTGCATCAAATTGCACCAGTTTTCATTTACTAACTTAAGTTTTATTATTCTAGATTATTTATATGTTATTTATCTTGTTTATTTTAATTCTACTATTTTATTTATGTTACCTATTGGTAATTTTATTGTAATGGCTGCCCAGAGAGCCTAATGTTAATGGGCAGCCTTTAAACAAATTTAATAAATAAATAATTCACAGCCTGACAGTCAAGAGGATATGGTTGTGGTCTGTTGCAAGATGAAGCACTCCTGGGCTTCCAGATTACAACTGGTCTGGGAGGTAGGAGAATTCATTTATTACCAAAATCCCCATAACAGTGGAAAAGAGTGAAGAGTCTGAAGTGCAGAGTTTCTGCAGCAACCAGTGCAGCACAATGCTGTCATGATTGAGTGAGTGCTGTATGCAACCCCACCTTACTTTCTCAGTTAATTTGTGACCTTCAATTAATGAATCAAGCCTTCTCACCCCACCTTCCCACCAAGTATTTCAGCAGCTATTAGCAGTGCTGAAATACTTGGAGAGCTTTTAGGAGAGCTTTTATCTGCCCCTCTGGCAGCAGCACACTCTTGCCTCCATAAAAGACAGTATTATATAAATTGTTATCACATAAATTAAAACTTTTTGAGATCTTTTATTTTTTTCTTGATAAATAAAATTCTGGGTAATTTATCTATAGTTGCTTCCATTGCTAGCATCGAATATTTTGGGAACACAATATTTGGGTTTGATGACATACAGCAATATTGTACTTATTAGTTCTATACCTCATTATTCTTAAAATAGATCTAACAGTTAATGTCCTAATTTCATATTATTGTATTAAAGTTAAATTCCATGGGCAGTATCCTATGATGCTGTTGTGCCTCCATTAATTCTGTACTGCTAGAAGGAAATAGGTCAGCAGAACACCCTGCTGTGATTTCTGCTGACCTATCTGGTTCCAGAAATGAGCATTGTTGCTTCAGGAGCCACTAGTTCCAGAGAGCCAGGGTAGTGTAGTGGTTAAGAGAGCAGAATTGAGACTCAGGCAATCTGGGTTCCAGTCCCTGCTCAGCCATGGATTCAACTGGGTGACTTTGAGCCAGTCACAGACTCTCAATGCAGCTCACCTCACAGGGTTGTTTTTGTGGGGATGAGAATAAGATCAGGAGGAGGAGAATTATGTGAGCTGCTTTGAGTTTTTTGTACAAAAAGGCAGGATATAAATCTAATAAATAGTTCTTCCTACATTAGCAGATCATTTCTCTACCCCAGGCAGGATAGAATATTTCCCACTGCTTTAATGATAATATTTACTTCGCCTATATACAAATGAAGAAGTCCTAGAATCTTAAAATAGGGTATAAATTATACAAAAGTGTATTGTAAAGTGCACTTGATTGGTTTAATATTGGAATGTTTATTGTCTTTTTCCATTTATTTTGTCCAATTCTTAGATATGAGACCTAGAACAATACCTTGTTTTAGTTTTTAGTGTCTTAGTTTTTAAATTATTTAAGTTTATTTAACCATAAGCTTTTGTTTCTATTAGGTTCGGAATGTACTTAACGATGCAGTGGATTTACTGGAATTTCGTGACAGAGTTATTAAGGCTTCTTTGAACTATGGGCATTTAGTAGTTTCAACATCTCTTCAGTGTTACATATTCTCGTAAGTACTTTGAATTAATGAGACATAGTCATCTGATAAGTTACAAAATTGTTGGTTTAATACATAATAGATTACAGTTCTACATGATTTGATTTGGAAACATCCATTGTTTAAAGGATATATCCCTTAAACAGAATCTAAATGATAAAAAATTTTCATAAATTACATGTGGAATTGACTGGCTAAATTTATTTTCTTATACATGAGACATCTGCAGTGAAGCCATATGTTACAATTAACAATCCTGTGTCCCAGTCTACTAGCACACTGGTTGTTCTGTGCTTTCTTTTAGTCACTACTTGTACCTAATCCCTGAACTATATTTTAAGTTTGAAGTACTTTCAAATTACGTTCAGAGGTATTGTTCTCTCTGTGTGTGTCCATGCATGCATGTTTGTGCACATGCGTTTCTCTGCATCACACCAGCCGTAACTTTTATAATGATATCGGAAAACATGAAGTAGCACTTAGATAATCAGTTTCTTTTAAAACAACTAGTAAGATAAATGCTATTTCTATATGTCTGTATATTCTGAAAAGGTCACCATATATAGGGTAAAATATATTCAAAACATCACCCATATAATCTAATATGTCTCTCTGAACTACCTTTGGTATCAAGTTTTTGATTGGATATTTCTCTACCTTTTATTTTAGAATTAAAAACTGGAATACACCATTAATCTTTGACCTTAAAGAAGGAACTGTCAGTTTAATTTTACAGGCAGAAAGGTAATGTGCCTATTGCAGTTTGTTTTTATTAAAATAATATTTGCTTAATTAGCGAACACTGGTGGAATAATATTTTGAAGAAACATGTATGTCAAATTCAACAGCTTTCAAAACTACACTCACCCCTCACACCATGGCGAGATGGCAGACCTGCTCTTGTGAATGAAATGAGTCAGAGGTTTCCTTCCATAGCTGGCATTACAGAGGGGGAGAAATTATCACTGCCACATCCCCAACACTACATCTGGGCAAGGACCTTCCATTTGTTTTGACCCCAACTCTAACCCTCAACTCTGCATTTTCTGAGTGCGACAAGAGAGCCAAAATAATGTCTGACTCCCTTCTCTAGTTGTAAGCTGGAAGGGGAGTGAGCACACAACTTGATTTGTCTCTTCTCTCCTGTGCTCTTCAAGCAGAAGGATCATTATGTCTGTTGTAATTATAACTGAGCTTCTTCGTTTTCTTCCGTGCAAGAAAAATACCTCTGAAACTTGAAGGGTATGGATTTCATTGATACTGGTTGGTTGATATGAGGTTGCTGGAGCATTTTTATCTCTTTGTGGTTGTTGTTCATATGGGCTGCAGGTCCCTCTTCACACTTCCTCACCATATTTCTTGCTTGGAGCTGGGCCAGAATGCCCGTGGGAACCACACTGTGTGTGGTAGTCTCATCAAACCCATGGGTATTGTAGACAAGCTTCAATATTCTTAGCAGGGAATGTGTTCAGCAGGCTGCAGAAGAGGTCTTACAACTATTATAAGTTCATTTTTCCAAGTGAAAAAAGAAGAGGAAAAATCCCTCTTCAACATTTCATATAAACCTAAGATAATCTAACCCATACAAATAAATTTTAGTGAAATTCCTCCTTCCTGAAAGCAGCAGAAAATCTACCCCCCCCCCCTTTCAAAAGGATGGGAAATAACATGATAGGGGGATTTTCAACATTTGTTTAGTTGTAATACCAGTGTTAAATTCAGAGTGTATGTGAGTTTCAGTTTTACTCAGAATTGTATTACATAGTAATCCTTCTACCTCTAAGCATTGTTAAGTGTAATGTTATGGAGTTAAACCAAATAGCAGGATCTTGTGCTTTGGGAGAAAGCATATAATCCCTGTGGCTCACTCTTGGTTACCTATCTGTGGTGAAGTAATTGGAAGCATTGTGTTCTCACTGACTCAGTATTATTTCCAAATGTACGAAATGTTGCTCTAGGAAAATATTAACACGTATCCATTCTAGAACATTTGGCTAATGAAACAGCATGTACTTGCCATAACATTAGACACCCTATGCAGAGATAAATTTGGCAGTCTAGAAAAATTAAAGCAACACCTTGGATCTCATTTGCAATCTATTTCTAGTTTAGATAAATCTAAATAGTTGTAAAAATAAACTTGTTATGAAGGCAAATAGATTACACAGGAATAATAAGCTGTGACAATTTCATTAATGGTATCACCTGATAATTGTTAATTGTTTCCTCCCTTTATTTAGGCATTTTCTTCTTGTCGATGGTGGAGGAATCTATTTGTATTCCTATGAAGGACGTTTCATTTCCTCTCCAAAGTTTCCAGGAATGAGAACAGATATGTTAAATGCCCAGACAGTATCTTTGAGTAATGATACTTTAGCAATAAGAGACAAATCTGATGAAAAGGGTATGTTAAAATTCGCTATTTTTTGCATAGAATATATTATCTTTTGAATAAATACATGAAAAAACTTGCTATATAAGTCTGAAAGAGGTTTGGGGAAAGGTAGTTAAATTCCCACTGCACTACATGAACAAGCTGTTTTATATTGAGTCTTATCATTAGTCCATCCAGCCCAGTACCATCTATTCTGTTTGGCAGTGGCTCTCCAAGGTCTCTGGCAGAGATATTTCCTACTCCTACTGCCTGGGATCTTTTCTCAAGAATTTAGACTAGAATCTTTTCTATATAAACCACCTACCACCTACCACTGAGCTATGGGTTCTTTCTTAGAAATGTATTTGTACGACTTGCATTGTAAGCCCAATAATTTGGAAAGGACTTTTTGATGTTAATTGACTTTTTGATGCTGCTTTCTTCAGTTAGTGTGATAAGAGAATTTCTTCCCAGAAAATGTAACTGATACTGGGAAAATCAGTGATTGGAAGATCCACATCCATGTAGGGGCTTTTTACTGTTTTTCTGCTGAACAGAATGGTTTCTGAGCCACAACACAAAACTGCTCTTTAAACTTTCCATGCCTTTTTATTTATTATATTCATTTTCTGCCTTTTTCCTACAAGGGGATCCAAGGCGATTTACATAATCCTCTTTCTCTTAATTTTATCCTCTCAACAACAGGTAGATTATGCTGAGAGACAGTGACTGGCATAAAATCACCCAGTGAGTTTCATGACCAAGTAGGAACTAGAACCTGGATCTCCTAATCCCAGCCCAATACACTAAGCACTTCAGAAAAGCCAGTTGATATTCTCTGTGCCTGAACACATACTATTTTCAGAGATATTAATGAAGTTACAAACTTAGTCTATCCTCTGTGTCAGATTAATTAAATTAAATGATTTTCTTTATTAAATCTACCTCGGAATAGTGATATCCAGCCCCTGATTTATGCTCACTGGTTGCGGATAGGATTACTTGTCCATCTCCCTAGCACTGCTGTGGGAACCTTTGTTAGGACATTGCAGACTTGGCATATGGGGGCAAGGAACTGTGGAGAAGGAATTAGCAACAGTGGAATGTTATACCTAAAAGGTGGTATAATTGGGGGAAAATCCAGTGGATTCAATTAAGAGCTTCAAATAATCAGACTGAACATTGGTATGTATTGTTTGTACTAAGGACCCCATCATCAAAATCCCCACGTGTATGCCCATAATTATCTAGCTATGGGAGCAGCATCTTGTAACCCATTGCTGAGTAACTTGATATGTGAAATCTGTGATTACTTGTTTTGTATACTTATGATAATGTGGTGTGATTGGCTGGAGAGTTAGAGCCAGAATGGAGAAGAGGCGTCTTAGTTTTGACCCATTTATTTATCAAATAATGGCTAGATCTAAATTTTACACAGAAAAGATCTTTTAGGTTAGGCAAGCTGAACCCTCCCCTCCTTGCCTTACCTCTCTGTGCTCTAACATCCCAGGCACTGGTCTCCTAGCTTAAGTTCTTGTGATATCAATGCTGGTCAATGAGAAAAGAATCTGGGGTATGCAGGAAAGAGAGGTAAGATGAATCAAGTTAGCATCCAGGTTTTAACCATCCAGTTTGTTTTGTTTTGAGTAAATACCTACTTCCACTATAAATTCTTACAGGAATCAGAATAGTTTACCTTTTGCTTTATTGCTTTTTGTGTAATACTAAAATATCCCGCCTCCAGAGAACAGAGCTTAAGAGTACTGATCTGCTAGGATGGAGACAAGTAGGAGCAGCAGCAAATGTGATCTTTGCCTCTCCTTCCTTCCACTCCGCATCTTCACTAGATAGGCTTTTTCACCTGTCTGACTAGAATGTCTTGGAGAGGGAAGGAAGGAGGGTAGTATGGCTTCAGGATACCTTGTATCCTGGCCTCTCCTATTTCTACACTTTCCCCAAAATGTTCCCTTTTATCCCACCCTAAGAACTTGCCTGATCTTGAAGAACAGCCAGTGTGATTCCCCCTGCACTGGCTGTAACGGTATGTGTAAGTGGTGGGAAGAGCTCAAATTCCCAGTTCCAAGATCAGAGAGCTATCTCCGATGATCTGGGAATCCGAAAAATCCTGTGGCCCTTCATACACTGTGTAGAAGCCATAGGATCAATTTCTGTATGTGATATGATAGAGTCTATCATATATCTGAATATAGAAAAGCATAGATTTTTATAAATTTTAAAACTCACCCCTGAGGATAATACATAACTGAGCACATAAAGCTTACATCGGAAGTTAGGACATTGTTCTTTCTATCTTATTATTAACTTGATGTGGTATGCAAGGTGGGTGGGTGTTGCCAGGAAATGAGATAAAGGCAGCTTGAACAAGTGGGGGGTCATTTGACTCCAAGAGGAACTTTCAAGAGCCACAGATGGGGTAAAGTGCGGGAAAATGGTGGAAAAAACCCATTGCACAAGCTAACTTCTTCTCTAACAACTTTGGATTCAACCAATTTACACTATTTTGTCTATTTGTTTTCCTTTTTTTGCTTGCTAGAGAAAATCAGCATGCACACACACAAAGTTCCCCAATTACCAAGTTACTCAAAGAAGCAATTTTCAAAGCTCATGCTATATAAATTGTGTAAACCATTTCCAGTTTTATGGTTCTCATTGACCTGTGGTAGTTTATCAAATAGGCAGAGTCCTCCAGCTGCAACAGAGGACTTTACAGGGGAGCCATGCAGTAAAATGTCAATATTTGCCATGTAGAAAACCTAACACCTTTTGGAAATTAATTTTGCTATTTGAAATATAAAAGAAATGTAATCAGAATACCAGCGGTGAACATATTATTTCAGTAAAATTTCAAAACAAGGAAAGCAAAGTATATAATATCTATGCAAGAATTTGTCATTTTAGCTGAATTTTTCCTTGATTGCTGATCAATAACTTTTATAATAATTCAATCCCACAAAGTGTTGAAGGTTGAAGTAAAGAGTTTTTCCAAAATCAAGAGACATTTTCTTCTGGTAGTTCAAAATATCATTATCCAGGGAAACAAGTCAAGGTGCCCAGTAACTGCCCATGAGTTATTTGTAGGTTGCTTGCCCCACAAATAAGCCATGCTGGATTCTGATGGCACAGCAACCTTCACCAGCAAGGCTAGTAAAGGAAATCTAACCAGCAAGTGTGGTGGGGTTAACAAGCCACTTTAGCGTGTTAACCATACTGCAATCCAGTAAACTGAGTTAGTACAGCTTGCTTCCATTGTGGTTTCTAAACAATATAGCTAGCAAAGGTCAATTCAGAATTTCTGAAGTCTAACCTAGCTTGGAGAGATACTCAATTTCATCATTAAAATATTTGTTAGTAAATGAGAGTGCAGTACTTCCGTACTATTTGCTAGTTCAACAGTCACTTTTTAGTGATTTTTTTCACTTTTATCTACTTCAATAATTAATTAATACAAAAGAAAGCAAGATGAACTACTTTTTTCACCTGGCATGCTCCTTTTTTCCTCTCCTTTTTGAGAAATTGTTGAGTTAATAATACATACATTCTGCATGGTTTTATTTTTAAACTACTGTTGATAGTAAGTAAAAGTTTTGGTAAAAGAACAAGCTTATAACTATGACAAGGGAAACCTTACATCAAAAAGAGAGCACAGCACTGTCTCAAGTCACAAGTTATTTTCCTGTGTTTACACAGCTGGCGCAAACTAGCACTGGACGTAACCCTTCTTTTTCCTTTTCATATGCAACCAACAACATCAGAGCAGCACCTGTTCTCATAACATCGTTTTTTCCTGCCAATATAACCAGTGACCGCAAACCAATATCCTGTATCCTTCTAAAAGAAACTCATGACACTATGCTGAAATGAAAATGGAAGACTCTTTTCAAGTTAAACGTGCATGCCACATGGAAGATAGATGTCATATTATCAGCTGGATTTGGCATGTGATGTGGCAAAAGTGTTTGAAATTAATTGCTCATTTATATGTGTTGAGTGTAATGCTCAGTTATGATTTTATATGTTATAGCAGTTCTGCCTTTCTAATGCCCATTCCCCACAAACACAAATACTTAATCCTTGGAACAGTTAACAGGTTAAAGCATATACAAAACGTAACTTTGAATCAAATAAATAAATAAGTGGAAACACACTTTTTGCACTCCCTATGATCGAGAGAATCATGCTGCCCTCTCTGTGCACACTTATCTGGTCACTTTTTGCTTCTTGAAAAACAAACTTCCTTTACAAATAGCACACTGCTTTTCAAACTTGGAAGTGCTTAAAAATAGGGTGAGTCTGCCATTCAAGGGGAGAAAGTAAGTGCCTTAGGGTGCCTTAGGGTTTAATCCTTGTGGCATACATCATCATCTGTAGAGCCATAGGATTGTAGAGAACTCCTGTTCTGAGATCCTGTAGCCTCTGACCTACGACCTCAGAGCTATGCCTCTGAACGCAGAGCCCCTGCTACACTCCTCTTGCAACTGGCAAGAAAGAACCACACTGGCTGCCCCCTCCCACAGGATTAGAAATTGGCCTTGAAGTGGGAAAAAGAGGTGTGCTGGTGGTCAAGGAGGAGAGGAAGCTGGAGTGGCAACTTATGCCAGATCTAAACAACATTCCAGTCTCTCCCTACCCCTGGGAACTTCATGTAGGTAGCCAAAAATCGTTGTTTAGAAGTGCATGGCACAAAACAGAAGGCACTGATGAAAATTGCCAGTGCAGTGCCTCACACTGTGCATTGGCTTTACGTAAGCCTCTGCGTTCAGAGGGTTACATGCACTTCATGTGGAGAGCGTTGGATTGCATTCTCCCCATTTCATATTTAGAGTCAAGATGGGGATTCTTCTGGACCCTGAGCTCTCCCTTGAATCTCAGGTGTGCTCAGTGTCCAGCAGCTCCTATGAATATCTTTGACTGATTTTTTTAGCTATGTTCCTATTTCAATGAGCAAAGCCTCGACACAGTTATCCATGTATGGGTAACCTCTAGTCTGGATTACTTCTAAAGTGCTCTATGTGGAACTGCCTTTGAAAACGGTTTGTACGCTACAACTAATTCAGAACAGAACAGTGCAGCTGCTGACAAGGACTTGCCCTCGAGAACATATTACACCTGTCCTTTTTCAGCTGCACTGGTTACCTGTCTCAGTCCAGGCCTAATTCAAAGTGCTAACATACAGAGCCCTTAACAGCGTTAGGGTTAGGGTTAGGGAATGCCTCTCTCTATATGTCCCTACCCATTCACTTAGATTGTTCACAGAGGGCCTTCTCTGTGTTCCATCTCCCAGTGAAGGGGCGGGGGGGCAAGGAGAAGGGCCTTTTCTGTGGTGGTGTCTCACTTTCAGAACATGCTCCTTAGGAAAGTGTGCCTGGTGTCACTGTTGATCTCTTTTAGGCATCAGCTAAAGACCTTCTGTTCAAACAGGTGTTTATTAGCTAACTTGGTATTTTAATCCTGTTTTAATATACTTGCTGCTTTTCTTTTTAATTGGATTTTTCTCTTTGTACTGCCAGAATCTTATTTTTGTATCTCATATTGTTTTGTGCTGTTTTACTGGTTGTTTATGGTTTTAATGAATTGTATCACTTGCTGCTGTTTAAATTGACTTGATGCTTTGTTGTAAGCTGCCTGGAGAGCCTTCAGGCTATGGGGCAGCAAATAAATGCAACAAACAAACAGAAATATATATTTTAATATTATTAGGGCACAATCCTGTGTACATTCACTTCATAGTAAATCTTATTTCTGAGCAGACATGCACAGGACCACACCATTAATTTTTCAGAATTTCAAATTTGTATAATTGTTAATCCTATTTCTATGCTGAAGAAAAATTAAATATAGAACAATAGAAAATGTAGTTAACACAGATAAATTGTAGATAGCAGAAAAAATTGCTTAGTTTTTCTTATGACTTACATTTTTTTTACCTACAGTATTCAGTATTTTAGACACAGAAAACAACTATTTGGAAGATGAGACAACTTGGGAGGAGGGTTAAAGTTTAATATATGTTTTGACCCAGATCTGGATATCAGCACTGCATCATAAAAATAATACAATTTTAAAACAAAACAAAAATTGAAATCGAACACTTAAAGAGTTTAGATTTATTTTCCTGATCCTTTTCCTCAAATGACAAGGCTGTTAATTCTAGATTTTCTATTTGCAATAATCAGTCAAATGTTCTTTTATAAGTACTGTATAATAATTATTGCTTTGATCCATATGTAGAACAGAAGTCCAATTGATGTGATTGGGTGTACTCTAAGTATGAATAAGCTTGGGTCAAACCTTAAGATATTAAAATTATTGAAAAGCATGAGAACTGGAGTCAGTGTGGTATAGTGGTTCATAATGCATAGCAGGATCCCATAGACCCGGGTTCTAGTTCCCACTCATCCATGCAGCTAACTAGGTGACTTTGGCTCAATCATTGACTCTCAGTTCAACCTCAACCACCGGGTCGTAGTTGTGAGGAGGAGGAGAATTATATTAGCCAACTTGAGCTCCTTGAAAAGAAAAAAGGCAGGCTATAAATAAAAAGTAAAATGGGGTAATAGTGACAACACGTTGATTTGGATGCAAGAATACCTACCTTAAATTCCTGCTTTGCCATGGAACTCTTACTTATTTCACAGGTTTTGGAAAGGATTCACTAAAAAGCCAAGAGCAGTATGTGGGAAAATGAAATAGAAAAGATTGGCAAGAAATCTCTCAAAAGAGCAAGTGTATTTGAAACATAGCAAATAAAGAGTGAAATCCACCAAGCAATATCCGCATGTGATCCTCTACATGCATTCACTGCAAAAAAAATAAATGGAAATGAAGTATAATTCTTATATATTTTTCAATAATTTGTTGTCTCTTGTATCTCCCTTTTTAAAAATAGTTATTTATCTCTTTGAACCCTTATGTGCCAAGCCACTAGGAGATGGAAGGCCACTTAGTCATAAGGTAATGTATACAGAATACATAATTTAATATTTATGTAATTTACTTTGGAATAACATCAGAAAACATGATGAAAACCTTGGTAAACACAAATTGAAGTAAGTTGACTTGAGTAATTTCATTTTTGTAGGTTGTAAGTCTTATAAGTCCAAGTTTCTCATTCCAAGTATTCCAGCATGTTACCAGTTGAACTTCTGACCATGGAAGATCAATCTAGAATTCATAATGCAGTCTTACACATGTTTATTTTGTCATTCTATGCGATTAATGTCGCCCATGCCTAGGTTGAGTGTCATAGGATTGCAACCTTAATAACTTCGCCAACACATGCTTGGAAACACACGTTTTCTGAGATTGTGAAAGTGACAAGATAATGAAAGTGACAGATGAGCACGCATAATATCTTTCATTAATATAATGAAAAAGTGACATGATAATTCTACTATTACTTCAGTAAACTATTGTTATTGGTTGAATGTATTGATAGTGCTGGTACTGATATTTGTTAATGTATTGGTGAATCCATGAAAGTATATTTCTTCTGAGAAGTTTTATTAAAGTGAATCTGACTGTTAATGCACCTTAAGGTTCTAGTGTCTGAACATTTGCAGAGTTAAAACTATTCTTATTAAAACAGAATTCTACCAATAGGCCAAAGTGCTGTTTTAAGACTGATATAAGTGATATTTTTTACTCTGGTGTGCAAATTAGTTTGTTATGTTGAATGAGATAGCAGAAATAAGGAATTGGGACACTCAGATTTCAGGCTTTTCTTTGGAAAAATTGTCCTCTTTCACTGTAACAGTGTTGTTGTGAGAACAGAAATATAATCAAGAAATGATCTGTCATAATGTGTCCTTCATATAAGGTGAGAATATAATCTCATCAATATACAAAATGCTTATTTCCTATAATGGCCCATCCATGTGCTTATTTGTTTATTTTTATTTAAAAGTCTAATTTCTGTCCATTAAATGTTGTTATAGACAGAAATATTGGAAATTGCTCTAGACCAGAAGGGTCTTACAAATGAAAGGAAAATTGCTTTTATTGACAAAAACAGAGATCTTTTTATAACTTCTGTGAAACGCTTTGGGAAAGAACAGAAAGTTATCAAAATAGGTAAGTCTTGGCTTTCTGCAACATATTCCCCATGACCCAATTCCTTTATAGTATTGACATAAGGAAAACAAAAACTAAAATTAAGTTTATTTGCTTTAACTTGCATATATTTCTTTCAAATTGTATTGAAACTGTGAGTGTGTAATCTTCTAGTAGAGAATGATAAGGGCAGTGTAACACAAAATCCTTAAGGCTTCTTTGTTTCCCGTGCAGGACTGATTCTATCACTGTCTCAGCAGCACAACTCATTTTCATATAACTCCAATAATGAAGAGAGATCCCAGTCACATGGCAGAAGCTAACTTTGGACTGCTTCCCATGTCATCATAGCCCCAGTGACTGCATTAGAAAAGAAGAAAAGTTCCATTAGATCAAGTCCCAACTGGCATTCATTTTCCAAGAATGATGTTCATATGCTGCCTATTTTCAAGACAGCAAACAGCAGTAAAAATGTATATAATTGAAAAATAATAGAAAGGTGCAAAAATAAAAAATAATTAGATGAGTTAGAATTAAAAAAAAAATAAAACAGCATAAACCAAGCAATCTTCCTGCATGATGGTTTGTAAGACTAGGCATATCGTAGGGCTTCATTAACCCACTGTGACTTATTATACAAACCAAACCCAGACAACAAAATAAGCCACAGTCAATTCAAAAAACCAGAGAGCCCTGTGGTAAAAGAAAGGCTCACCTCTCTAGCTAAAGGGCCAGCAGGCACACAGCTTTCCCAGGCTCTCCAAGTGCTAAAATAGCACTCAGAGACAGCTGCAGCAGGGTTCTCCCATACTCTGCTAGCAGTGGAGAAGGCTGAGAAAGCCCCTGTTGTGGAAGGCAGGCTTGTCCCTTTCATTCAGAAGCCTCACCCCACATGTTTAGGAGACCTTTCCTCTGTGTTCAGGGCGACATGAGCATCCCCAAAAAACTGAGGATTCTGCTGCACATAGACATATATATTAAACACCTTTAAAAGAAGTTATCAACAGGCTATAAAGGTGCAATTTGAAATGTACACTGTGCCCATGCAAACAGAAAGCCATGCCAAATCATAACTGTGGCTCACTGATAACTCTTTCCCCAAAAGTCAAGCTGTGGCCAGCACTAAATGGCTTGCTGCAGCTCAGGGACATCTCAGTACTCCTAAAGTAGCCCCTGGTAAATTGCAGGGGGACTGAGTGGTGGGAAGAGGAGGGAAAGGTAGCACACAAGCCCTCCTGTGCCTGATTGCCTGTCAAATCTTAACTGCAGTATTTTTAACATGTTGTATGAGCCTAGCTGAGACCAGGTGATGAAGTTGCCAAATTGCTGTATTTCAGAGTCTTTGGAATAATCCTCCCATGCTTTTTTAACTTTATGCCTGTTGTTACAAGCAATAAACTATATTTGAGGTCTGAGTTTCTCTGAAATATATATCTTGCTGATTTGCCCATATATGGCATTTTACTAAACATGGCAAATCCAAAAAGTAAGTTGAAAGAAGCAAACAGAACATCAGAAGCAAACAGAACCCTTCTCCGGGAACCCTCTGTGAAGGATATTAGGAGGGTGAGTTCTCGGAGGAGGGCTTTCTCTGTGGTGGCGCCCAACCTATGGAATGCGCTCCCGGAGAGGTCTGCCTAGAGCCATTGTTATTTGTTTTTCGGCGCCAGGCCAATACTTTTTCATTTAAATGCTATTTTAATTGTTAAGGTTTATTTATTGAATTTAAACTGACCAGGCTGTTTCCACTATATTATGTATTTTATTTATTCTATGTATTTTTTTGTATTTATATGCGGAATTTTAATGATTGTAAGCCGCCCCGAGGCTTATGTGAAGGGGGCAGCATATAAGCTGTCTAAATAAATAAATAAACATCAGTCATGTAGGGGAAAAGGTTAAATATGTCGATGTAGGGGAAAAGGTTAAATATTTTTTAGATTCAAAGCACCTCTGAAATCATGGGAGTAACACCAGGCTGTATCTCATGGCAGAAGGAGCCTGGAACAGAAAAACCTGTGGTGTTATATTGGCCAAGGCATAAAACTCCAGTAGGAGGACTGAACTTTCAATCTACAGGCCAAAGAACTGGAAAAGAACAGGCAATGTATGAAGGGCACTCTCTACTTCAGAGAGTACACACAATGGACGATATGGAGAGGCTTTAACTAAGTATTCATGAATTCTTTCAGGCTTGTGCTACTTTATTATTGTGGCACAAATTATGGGTTAGAAGAAACAAAACATCATCCTGCACAGACAACACAAATCTGTTATTAGAATCATATTCACTGCAGAGAAGAGTTGAAAATGCTGGTGTTTATTATGCTGCCATGTGCTTGAACCGCTATTTTATTCTGCTTATTCTCTGTTAAGGAACAATGGTGCATACTCTGGCATGGAATGACACGTGCAACATCCTCTGTGGCATACAGGATACACGTTTCACAGTCTGGTACTATCCCAGTGCAGTATATGTAGACAAGGATCTCTTGCCAAATACAGTCTATGAAAAGGATGCAAGGTATTGTGTACTTTTATTGCTGCCTTCCTTCCTTTATTTATTTATTACGCATACAGACTACTCAATAACCAGATTTCTTTGGGCAGTTTTCTGTCGAAATGAAAGCATAGACAGTGAAGAAAACAACACAATAATAAGACTAAGACAAAACCATCTACAAAGAATAAAACATTGCAGTACAAAAACAAAAATAAAAAACCAACAGCAGAATGAAACTATTAAGATTGAACAACATTAAGACCAGTTCTTAAAATAACTATGAGAATAAAAATAAAGACTATAATATAGGCTACAGGCAAATCTCTCCAAGAAGGGATGTTCCTCAGACAGGGTGATTCCAATGAAACATGTCTGTCTTTTGTAATCACCCACTTCACCTCATTTGGCATGGAAGCTCAGAGGGGATTCTTAGACAGTTGACCATACAATGCAGGTAAATAGCTGAAGGCGTTCCTTTAGGTAGTGTGCTCCAAACCATTTGGGACTTTCAGAACTTAAAACCTGCAATTTAAATTGAGTCCCAAAATGGATTGACAGTCTGTGCAGATGGCAAAGTACTGACATAATATTGGCCAAACCAGCAATGCATAGTGGTTAGAGTGTTGGACTGGAACGTGGAAGATCCAGGTTCTAGTTCTCACTTAGCCATGAAACTCACTGGGGGGATGTGAGCTAGTTACAGGCTCTTAGCCAAACCCACCTCAGTGTTGTTGGGGGATAAAGTGAAGAGGAGGAAGATTATGTAAGATGCCTTAGGTTCCTTGTAGGAAAAAGTGAAATTCAAATAGTAATCTTTTAAACAATCTGGTTTCCAGACCATTTTCAAAGGCAGACCCATATACAACAGCAACAATCCAAACAGATGTTTACCAAAATATATGTAACTGTTACAAGACTTTATTTGGCCATGTAGGCCCATAATCATTCTTATTATTTTTTGAATCTGTCCAGTAGTAAATGTTCTTTTCTGGGTCACTTGTAAACATTTAAAAGAATAAAAAACAATAAAAATTAAAATGCAATAGAATTGACAAGCAGCATAGGAATAAGTAAGACACAGCTAAAAATTACTTATTTCTCTCTAAATGCCTGGGAGAAAATAAAGGTATCTGTTGTTGTTATATCAGGCATGGCTGATAAAATGTACTCTGATCCACTGAGGCCACCTGTACCTTTAATAGCATTGATTATTACATTATATATTCATTTACATGATATTTATATCCTGCCTGTTTTCCTCTTGTGAGGAATCCTCCCCATTTTCTTCTTGTGAGGAATCCTTCATGGCTTATGTACTCCTCTGCCAAAATAAAAAAAAACCTGTGAGGTAGGCTAGCCTGTCTGGCCCAAGCTCACCCAGTGAGCTTTATGGCTAAATGGGGATTAAAACTGAGATTGTCTGAGTCCCAATCCAACACTCTAACCACGGCATCACACGGCTCTTGATAGACCCAAGAACAGGTTGAATACCATTTAACCAAGCTGACAACCCACTTTCATCAAGTCCACTTATCTGGACTGGGTCTCTGTTTAAGGCTCTCATTAAATTCATTGCTGAGTCCAAGCATTGGTTCAAACCATTAACAGCCTTGATTGCATCAGATGAAAAAGAGATCATGCTGGGAGTTATCTTGGTATTGATAACTTGTCAGTCTACATCATTGGATAACTTCTCCCTACTCTCATGTAGATATTAAAGGAAAATATGGAGGAAAAGAGAGAACTCCAAGGAACCTCATAATAGATCTGTCACAGGGCAGAGCAGTAATTCTGCATCACCACCTTCTGAAACTAGCTGAAGTAAAAGTTGAACTACTACAGAAAAGTGTCCAAATCTGGAAGCCTGTCCAACAGAGATACCATGGTCATTGCTATGGATCAAAGCTATCGAGAGCTCCAAGTTTCCTCCAAGAGTGTAGGAAGTTGATCAGTGACCATTTGTTCAAGCAGCATGCACAAGAAAGGGATGCTAGCACCCACCCTATCGTTGTTTTCTTCTTCTGGGTCCAGGTTAGGTTTGTTCAGAAGCAGACTGATCAGTGCTTATTTTAAAGAGGTTAGAACCACATCCTCTCTCAAAACAAAATTTATGATTTCCAGTCAGTCTTCCTCTCCCTACTAAATATAATAAGCCAAGGGAGCACAGGACTGGGACTAGTTCCCACTCAGCCATCAAGCCAACTGGGTGACAAAGAAATGCTTTTTTGTCCCCTCGCCCTCACAGAATAGACTCAGTAATAAGCTCTGATCTATGTTCAGTTTGATTCACAAGTGTTTTCCTCCACTTGGATTCTAGTTGTTGTTCCTCTTATTTCATTGTCTTCAGCTTAGATTTATATCAAGGAGCTGCATGGACTCTGCAAAGAGGGCAAGGACATGTAGCACATTATCTTGCTTGCTGTCTTGGACATTTACATGTTCCATAGAGGGATCAAGGCATCAATAGGAGCACAAATTTTAGCAACAGGAAAATTCCCAAGAACCCTCTAGAATCCAATACTCTCCAGTGGCAGATAATTTTAATGTGGATCCCCTTGCAGAGGGGAAGATCTAAACCTCAGCAGGGAATTATCTGATGATGACAAGGGAAAAGATGTTAAATCCTGCACTTTCAGATCACCTTCTTCTTGCCCTACTGAGAAAAACACATCTAAATTGTGCCCTGCCACATGTGTCGGGCTAAATATATATTGGTACATAATTGTCACGGTGGCCATGAAGTACTGAGCCACTTCAGATTCAGTGGATTAAGCGTGTATGTTGAAGTCCCTCAAAACATTCACCCTCAAGTCTGACAGGGAAATGGAGACTAATGGTCACTAGGGTGTAGTACCACAGCACAGTCCCTAATCTGGCTGGCTTGCACGCTCAATGTAAATACAAACATTCAAGTTTGGCACTTGGACAGGAGGGCTGGAGAGGGAGCTGGAATTCCTGCAACACTGTCCCTTTTCCTAGGCTGCAAGTCTGTACTGGTGTTGCTTGAAGTACTCGGGGGAACAATGCTGTGAGAGACTAATTCCTTCTAGTTCACCTACCCAGGTCTTGCCATACCTCAAAGGGCCCTTCATGGTGCTCTGATGACAGTTTTATTTTGGGCCAACCTAAGCATTTCTCTGTCTAGTGATACAGTCTGTGACTTCACAATTGCCATCATTATTTTTACATTGCATTTATAGAATGTGCTTCTTTTTTCTATCAAGGAACCAAAGTGTCATACAAGATTTTGTTCCTCTCATGAGAGTATAATGAGGGAATGGTTGTGTGTAATTTGAAGTAGGGATTAAAAGTATGCCATCTCAGTTTAGCTCAAATTCTTCTCCAGGCAAAGCTTTTAAGATTTGAAAAATGTCTAAAAGTGCTTTTGTTGTTGCATATTTTCTCTGTAGGACAGTAAATACAGGCTAGCTTCTACTTGTTAATCTGGAAGTGACCCCTTGTAGCTATTGGCTTGAACTACCCACAGGAGAAGTGAAAAATAGATGAAGAATATGACCATCTTTCCATTGATGGTTAATGAATACTAAAAAGTGCAATTAATGCTTTAGAACAAATATTAATCTTTTATTTGAGCAACACTTCCAGTTAGACTATGATGATTCTAAAATAATTATTTGATATCTAATCATGTTTACCTCAACAGTGAATTCAGTAAAAATCCACAGATTGTGAGTTTTGTTGGAAATCAAGTAACTATCAGGAGAGCTGATGGCTCACTTATTCACATCAGTATTTCACCTTATCCAGCTATGCTTCATGAATATGTGAACAATTCAAAATGGGAAGATGCCATTAGACTATGTCGTTTTGTTAAGGTAAATATAAACTTCTTCAGCAGCATGAGCTTCTATGGTTTTTATATAAAAAACAATTTTGAGCCATTGTTCAGTTTTGAAATCCAAACCTGTTTACATTCTGTCAGGCTTCTGTATCCATCCACTGCCTCCACACCTTTGCAAACAGTCATCTTCGTACTCCATCACAGAATGCTTTTGGAACTCTGTTGATTTCTAAAAGTGCCTTGTGATGTACTGAAAGGACCATACTTCTCTGTTTCAGTGACAGTAATCATTCTAAATATATGTCAGATATGAGTCATAGCCATATATTTGTTGCAAAGATTTTCCTGACTGTATGGTTTTAGAATGCTGATTGTTGTGCACTGTTACACTGAACATTTTATGCTAAAATTGATAATCACACAAAGTTTATAGAATTAAATTCCATAGAAAGCTTTTTTTTTTTAAAGATGCAATTTGATACACTTTGTAAATGTGCAGTTCATTCTTGCTGATATAGCTCACCATTTGAGCTGAGTAGCAAACTGCCCTATCTGACTGTGCCTGGCCATCCTCCTGCTTTACACTGCTACCAGAGCCCTATTCTATGTGCCTTCTGGGCTCTTTAGCTGTAGGTTTGGCAGCCAATTTACTTTCTCTGTTTTCTGTACTTAAGGATTAGTAGCTTTTAAAGTCAGCCATGCTCTCTTTCTCTGCACCATTTTCTTATGCTCTTTGTGACACCACCATCCCCCCTCTCCAGCTGGCTGCTGGGGACAAGAAAAAGATCTGATTGATCACTTGCTGAGTGCTTTTGAAATTAGGCTGACATTCTGTCTTTTGTTTTAAAAGATTTTTAATTATTGTAGTTTTCAGATGATTGCCATGATTCATAAGTAAGCATATTTCATCTAATTCCTAGAATTGCCACAGTTGCTAACCTCAGAGCTGGTGCCATGGATAGCATGACTGAGCACACTGTAGGTACACTGCCCTCCAGGGACATGTTGCCAGTGCCTGGGGGCTCCTAGCTGTGCTGCTTCTTATTGCTTGTTCACCAGCTGCCTCCACGTGCACAGTTCGTGGCCAGACAGTGAGAAGACAGTGTGTCTCTCTTTAATTTACCTTCCGCTCACTCTCTCTGGATAGTTGTATGAATTGAATCCTGAAGGTGATAGCAAAAAGTTAGTGGAGATGGACCCACTCAGATAGGAGAGCCACTATGGGCATTTTGTGCAAGGGCCCTCCAAAACCTGCAGATAGCACTGCCCAAATTCTTAATCTATGGAGCAGCACTATTATCACAACTAGAAATGCTCTGTAGTTACATGCCTTAGTTAAATTTGACCATTCTGTGATTTTTCACACCATCTATTTGCCTCTCTGAAAGCAGGCAAGTATTAGTATCTGTTGATAACTAGATTAAGAATGCAATCCTATGGGTTATCTTCCTGACAGATACATAGATAGATCTATTCAAACTCTTTCCAGAAAGAGACAGGCAAGGCAGACACAATGATGGACGAGTGTATCCCAGGAAACCAAGAATGTTCATCTACATGGACCTCTGATCTCCCTGCACCTGATTGACCAGCAGTAGGAGGAGACAACAATGGAGAGGCTTCTTTATGCTCTCCCTAAGTTATTGCATCCTCAGAAGAGCAACTGCTGCCCTGATTTTCATAGAAGAAAAGGCAGGGACAAAGGAACGGAATTGGACCAGTGTCAGTTTTCCATTTAGAAGTTATAAGAGTTGTGTGCAGCCTCAGCCTCAGGGAAGGGAATCTGACATATCCTATAGTTCCTGGGACACTCTCTCGGGGATGGTAGGAATCCTTTTCCCATGTATTGTGATACTAGGCAAAACATTATAAACATACTGCAAAACAAGGTCACATCATGGCTGGCTGGGGGATGCTTGGAGTTGTAGGACTTATTTCTGCCTAAGCCTGGACAAGATTGTACTCTAAAGCTTTTGCTCTTTTCCATCCTTTTGTCTCTTTTCTGTTTCCTCAGTCTTCTGCTTTCTTTTGCAATATCTGTCTGTGGGGACAAAGCTTCTCTAATGTGGAATGCCCCCTATGATGGAGACAAAGAAAGATAAGATCACTGTTGGCAGATGTGTTCGCTGATGAACAAGTTGCATGATTACTTTAATACTTTTCCAAATCTCTACCAGCTTTGAAAAGTCTTCCAAAAAAGGAGCTAGAAAAGAAAATGATAATCCAGAGAAGTTCTTCAGTATTCTCAAAGAGCAGTTTCAGGAATGAAGTTCGTTTGTAACTGAACATTCACATAATTAGCAAATAAGGATTGGGAGGGAAGATTGTTCTGCAGTTAAGGACTTTTGCTGAGTTGCTGGATTCTTGACCTTGAACTATTATAAAGATATTATAAATCTTCTTATATTTTGCTTACTCATCCAAATACTGTGGAGGGGTCAGGAAGAGAGGCAGGGCAATTCCTTAAAAATCAAGTGATTCAAAATACCATCTCCTTTTAAGGTATAGGAAATGAAAGCTGATACAAAGAAGCGCTGTAGGAAACAATAAAATCTGATACTTCATGTTCAGATTTCCTTGATTTTAACTTGTAATGTTTTATTTATTTATTTTCTGTATTCTTAAAAGACACAGTCAAGCATAAAACCAACTGGCAAATATTTCTTAAACTTGCAGTCCTATGCAGGACTGAGCAGTATAACTCTGGCCATACAAAACATATAGTGCATGTTGTTCCAAGCAGCTCACTGAAAAAAGACTTCCCACAAAAAGACTCTCCGAAGGCTTAAGGAGCATGCTGTATGTGGTGAACTGTGGAGAAAAGAGGGGGTGAGCAAAATTAGGATGAGACATCTTGAATAAGTGGGAAATCGAATTTCACTGACATTTCTTTGGATCCAACCTAGTAAAAATATTTTCACATTCTTATATGCTTTGAGAAGGAAAGCACAGGCTTGATTTTAGGTTGATAGTTCTGGTGGCTATAATTTGTAACTGGCATAAGGTTTTACATAGCTGTATGGCTTTGACCAGTCCTTGTTTTTGATTAATCACCCAGGCTTAGAATGTAATACCTCTTTGATTCACATATAGTTTAAATCTGAATTTGCTGCTGAATATTTCCACTATTTGACAAATCGAGATTTTGATCCAGATTAAATGTTGATAGATATCCATATAGTGGTTATACTGTTGACGTATCCAAAATTAGTAAATATATCAGTCCTAAACACATGGGGCTTGACCTAACCAAATGAAGGCCTTTTAAGTATGTAGGAAGTTTCTTATGCGGATCAGGCTAAAGCCCTGTCTTGTTCAGTATTGTGTGGCCAACCACATGCCTATGGGAAATCACACTCTTCCATTCATATTCCTCTGTATGCATTTGGTTGTATATTGGAACCAATACATAGCTATCATAATGAATACCATTCATAGCCTTGTCCGCCATGAATTTGGCTAATCCAAAATGATGTGCATCAATACATCTTGTGGTAGCAAATTTCACTGTCTGACTTGAATCTTCGACTCCACACTTCATTGGATTATTACAGGTTCCAGAATTGTGAAAGAAACAAACACACTCCCTCTCCACTTTCTCAATGGAGTGGAAGCCGCCCCGAGGCTTATGCAAATGGGGTGGCATATAAGTTGTCCAAATAAATACATACATACATACATACATACATACCTTGTATAATTTTATACACCTCTGGAAAAACACCATCTTGATTTTTTTCTCTGTGAACCCATTTCAGCATAGCAATTAATATGTGTGGAGGAGAAGGGACAACAGCAATAAGGCTTTAACAGCATAAGATGAGCATTATCTTTGTCAGTACTAGTGGAGTTCAATTAATCTTTATTTGGCTTAAGACAAACTTTTCTATTATATAAGAGAAAAAGTTATCTTAAGCTTCATATTCTTGTTTCATTTCAGGATCAAACATTATGGGCATGTTTAGCTGCTATGGCAGTGGCCAATAAGGATATGAATACAGCAGAAGTAGCCTATGCATCAATTGGTGAAGTAAGTAAATCAGCTTTATGGTTTGGTGGAGAGGTTAGCTTTTTCTGAAGTAGAATTGTAACTTTAAATATGCTGATTTTATTTTATCTTTGTTTAAAAACAATAGATTGATAAAGTTCACTATATCAGTTACATCAAAGATCTTCCATCAAAAGAATCAAGACTGGCTCATATCTTGCTTTTCAGTGGAAATGTCCCGGAAGCTGAAACACTGCTGCTTCAAGCTGGCCTTATTTACCAAGCTATTCAAGTCAATATTAATCTTTATAACTGGGAAAGGTATCATGGTTTTTATAGTTACTCCAATTGCAAGGCTTATCTCTTTCTTTAATTATAAGTGCAGGATTTTCCATTCTTTTGCTGAACTATTTAATGCCTAACTTATTCACTAACATGCTGTTAAAGTCTAAATATTGTTTTAAACTAAAATATTAAATCCATCCCTCATTCCCACATGGCCAAAAATTTTGTGTTGGATGAATATTGAAATTAAAAGAATCTGGTTTTGTAGGTTCTTTAAAAAAAATTTTGTTACTGAGTCATGAGTGTAGAAATTGAGCTCGTTACTCATGCTCTTTAAAGAAGGGTCAAACTGGGCCTCTCTGTTGCTGCTATTACTTACATGTAATGACATGGATCCCAAGAAAGTTACTCTTCCCCAGGATTTCTCTAATTGGGATTTTTTTTTCACTCTTGTATCAGCAGATCACTATGCCATAGGACCAACTCTTCTCACTTTCAGAAATGGTTTGCCATGTGGCATGGGAAACTGTTGTTTGAGAAATTGAAACCCAAAACCTTTGATACAGAGAACATGTTTTCTTTACCAGAAAAAAACTCTGGTCATTGTATTAGTGCATCAGTACATCTTTAGATCTGTGTCAGTTCCTGGTTCATATGTCTTATTAATACTTCAAGTACCCAGTTAGGGGGAAACAACTGGAAGGGAATTTGAGGGAGGAAGTGAGAACCTCTCCAGCTCCATGTTTCCCTCTTCTAATTACCTCCTCTCCAGAAAGCAGAGACATGATGCTAAATTTAGAAACATGACCTGGCTGTTTATCAGCCTAAGATTGTTAACTGGGAAGTCCTTGGTCCAGATGTTACCGCCTGCATAAATTTACTAGGTGGCCTTAGGCATGCCGCTGTTAGCTTATGCTCCCTTGCCCCACCTACAATATGTGAGCCTATCTCACAAGCCTCTGTTAAGGATTATTGAAATAATGTATGGGAAGCATTTGAAATGGTTGAAAGTGCTATGAACAGGCAGGCTATATATTAGTTACATTTGTATATGCCCAGTATATATCAGGTTCTGCGACAGTCTCCCACCGAGGCCCTGGTGAGACCCAGACTTTTTTCACTTTACAAAAGTTGCCACAACCTGTGCCTTCAGAACATAGTCCTTGTGCAGGGTGGGAAGAGCCTCATAAACACCTTCCAGAATGTCCTGCTAGTGCAAAAGGGAATTAGATTTTACACTAGCAACATGGTTGTTTTTAGAGTGGGGAGGCAAATTTGAAAGCAGTTTACCCAAAGTATTCAGTTGAAAGCTTTATGGGAACTCTGTGAAAGCAGGAGCTCAGATGCATATTCATATTGGATATATACGGCCTTCCTCAATTCTGATAGGAATGGGTGGGCTTCTGTTTATCTGAAGCTCCTTACATATACTAAAACCATTAAATTAATGTTGGTTTGAGAGCTGAGATCTGATCTTTGATATCACAAAAGTTAGGATCCAGCAATATTCAATCTGTTGTGGTCCTAGTGGCAATAATTTATGCTTAGACTCACTGCAACAGATAAAAGCATTTTAATGCATAATAATGGTACTTTAAAATTGTTACTTTAAATTGTGAAAAAAAAACTATATTCAGTGAAGAAAATACTTTTGTTTTTTATAGTACTGTAAGGACAATAGATATATAAAGGCTTTTCATCAGAAACTTCATAAACATTTGTCTAGGCCACCATTGTTGCCAGTGCTAATGCTAGGTTTGTTCTCGCTTTGTCAGGAAAACTTTCCATCAGTGTAGTCACTGTACAGCATGTATTTTTATAAAACCAAAGCATTTGTAATTAGGCCAGTTTCTGAGTTCAGCCTGATGAGCTCATTATTGTTTTCTTCTAGGGCACTAGAACTTGCTGTGAAACACAAGACACACGTTGACACGGTTCTGGCTTACCGACAGAAGTTCTTGGATGACTTTGGTAAAAAAGAAACGAATCAGCGATTTTTGCAATATGCAGAAGGGGCAAGTATTCTATAGAAGCTGTGTTTTACATTTTCAGAAACTCGCCCTTGTGAATATGAAACAATTTAAGCCTGTAGTCTATACTTCGAAACACTTTGTGTTTGTAATTTATTTCACAGTTTTTAATCTTTTGTTTTCAGAGCATTCATTTTAAACGTTACATTTTATATGAACTGAGCCAAAGTATGTCCTAACAGTTTTGAAACTTATATCATGTAGCTAAGTGATATAGCTGTAGAACTATATTTGGGGGTAGATAAAAATATGAAGGTGATTTTTCCCTATTACCCAAGCTTTAAAGATTTTAGTTTCATTCATGCAAACTGATTGGGAAAATATGCTGTCTGTTCTGTTCATATATATGCTAACACTATTCTTATATTGACATCATGTAGGATCATTTTAGCAATAACCACTGTGCTGTCTAGCTTAGCACAGCTTTTTGTAAAGTATGGTGAATCTTATCTGAAAATCAATGCACCTTTGGAAACCTACATCATAGCCTTCACACTCCCTCATATATGAGAGGAATAAAGACTTTAAAAAGTAAACATGTGGGATTTAACTTGGCCAATAATATCTGGCAAGTGTTGCCTATACTATAACATATTTCAGCAGGATCCCACTGAAACAACCTAAAACAGTTGTGAAAATGGAGACCTCAGGTGGCTCTAAAATCACAGCTGTTCTTGGTGCCACCTTTGGTGGAAATGAGTCTATTCTAAATAGGACTTAAACTGGATTTTAGTCATGGCCAGTGTTGAAGAGATGCTTAATTAGGGATAAGAAATGACACTATTATCAGAAGCCTCTTGATACAATTTATCCAGTTTCTGTTTTGTTCCTGAAATAAAATCACAGAATAAAAAAATAAAATAAAAAAGGATATAACATAATAAATGGGAAAGCAGATAAATTTCAAATTTTCCTCACTTACCTGTAATGACTATAATAGTCCCTAAACTCAAGCAGTTGATGGAGGTTCAAAATACTTTTCATAAATAGCTGCATTCTAGATTATAGGCAGTATCCAAACTGTGCTGCTGTGTTATCACACATGAGTGTACACTAGTGTAAACCAGCATATGTTCACTTGTTCAACATAACTAGTGCTTGTTAGGCAGTGTCAAAATTTCTATATATTTTCATTCACACTTTACATTTGCACTATGCATTTCCATTCACGCTTTGAAAATGTCCAAAGGAGCTTACATGTGTCCTTGATTTTATCCCCTCTCCGATACATGCTTGACTCAAAGTATGTGTGTGTGGGTTTTTTTACTAGAGTAACTTATCTAAAATTGCAGACTTTTTCAGGAAAAGCAGAACTTGCTCTGTGTCTAAGGTAATGGCTACCAAGCCTGTTCTATTCTTAGAACAATGGATGTGGGAACAGACTTTGTTATTGGATTACAGATAATTAGAAATTGTCCCATAGCTCAAATTAATTGAGCTTGAGAGAATGCATGAAAAATACATATAACGGTAAAATATATGTGGCAAAAAGATACGTTTTGGTTGCCTGTTAAAAAGTGCCACATTTTTATTGCATTTGATGTGCATTTATTGTACTTTATTTCTGTGGGATTAATTTATAGGGCAAGCCTGAGTGTGTTTGCCCAGAAGTTCTACAGTATTTAGTAGGGCTTACACCTACCTAAACTTCTGTAGGACTGCAACCTTAGTTAACCTGAAATAAATACAATTTCAGTTGAAAAATCGGTTTGGCTCTCGAGAGGCAGTACATCACATACATAATGCACATTCTCAGAACATACACCAATCCATATTTGTAGAACCAAATCTACCTTTATTATAGAGAATATCTGAATTATTATGATGATTTAAAGTGCAACACATTCATTCATGCATTTTGAAATAAAATTATTTAGGAATTCATGTCTCTAAAGGCCCTGAAATAAAAACTTTCTAGCCGTCTCTGTTTCTTCACATGTGCCTGTTCATCATTTGATGACTGCAACAATGTTATATGAATAAACTTGCCATCACAGATATAAAACACTACCTTTCATATCACCTCAAGTACAATCATTTTCAGTGGGGTCAATTAAACAAGTTTAGTTACCAGTCATCAGATCTACAGAAATGAAGTAATGCACACATGTATGAATTGGGCCAAAACCATAATAAGTGACTGATTGTTTCATGTACATCCTTGTTCTTTCCCTTTAAAATACTTGCACTATTAAAAGAGATCTCAGAACCATCAAATTAAAAGTGCATTGTATAATTCAAAATAATTAGGTTGGGTTGATATTTCAGTTTAAGTATAATCTTTGGAATTGGAGTCCACCTGACACTTGCTATGTTCTGCATATATAGGGATCGTTCCAACACCTCCTTCCAGCAGTGGTCCCTGTCCCCAGTTTCCATAAAGACAGAGGAACCCTTCATATGGCATGCTGTGAGGTACACTGGACTGCCACCACCACAAAAAATTGGCAAATCTGCACGTACGTGCAGAAATATTTAGTGCAACCTCATCAGTTTGCTTGGATCTCTGCTGTAGTACAGGGGATTTTGGTTTTGGTTTTTTTTAAACTTCACTAATACATTGCAGGAAACTCTTCAGCCAGAGAAAGCAAAAAGTTATGAAGAAATCTATAGCAGATGTAACATATAAAGTAAAGACTTGCCAGGTTAATTTATATGCATCTGCTATAATTATGATTAATGGATACTCTCTTTTTTCCTCCTGGTTCTGCAGCTTGAAGTCAACTGGGATAAAATCAAAGCCAAAATAGAACTGGAAATTGCAAAAGAGAGAGAACGAGCTGCAGCTCCTCCAGCAGTCAGAGCAAGCTTAACCATACAACATTAAATGCCATGCTGATTATATTAGGTAGTGGTTTTATCACTCTTTGCTGTTTCCACATACTGGTAAGCCATAGCAAGAGTGCCTGTGTATTGTGGGGTGGACAGTAATGATTGCCTTTCAACTCCTGAACCTGGTATTGTTCTTTTTTAGTTGTTAATGGAAAGGAATTTCTATGTATGTAATCCTGTTATGAATGACAACCTTATTCTGCTTTATTCTTCATATGAGAAGTTTGAAGTGGACATGGCAACTGTTTTCAAGTTCAGCTCCTCAGTAGAAGATTATCTGTCTTGGTAGCACAGTTGAGGCACATGGAATGTATCACATAAATAAGTGGTCAGCTGTTCAGATTACAAACAGCCAAGTATGCAGTTTCTTTTAAACGCAGACCACTTGTTGTCTCAAAGCTAAGGACATAGTTTATGTTGGATATTATGTCTAGTAAAAGGAAGCTTTTAATATATAATAATATGAGTCTGAAATTTAGCACAGACTCAGACCTGAGGTACAATTATACATGTGTACAGATTACTGTACAGCATAATGAATATTGCTAAAGAATTTTACAAAACTTCTTTTGTAAATCATTTTTTGATGCAGGATTAGTTCTAACACAAGAAACATAATGAGCCTGGCCAGTTTTTCTAAAACAAAAGTTGTTGATGACGTGCAAAGTAAGTGAGGTAATGGGTAGTCCTTGATTACACTAACTTCTGTGGACATAGAAATATGCAAGCTTAAACGCTGTACCACAATTGCTTACATATTCACATACAAAAAGAAGCTGACATCAGACTGACCGACTTTTTTTGAATTCAGTGCAGAATCTGGAGTGCATAATTAAACACAATATATAAAATTATATAACTATATATTTTTAAATAACAGTTGAATTTCCTTAAACTATTTAATGGTTGATAATAAAGCCTTTCTAATAAAGGTGATCATAGTAGTAAAATAGTGATCATAGTAGTAAAATAGTTTTTTACAGTAAGTATATTTTAATATAAGCTACTACTTGGAAGCATAAATAATTTTGTGACTAGTATATACATTAATATAAATGTATGCCTTCATTAATAAATATTTCAAATATTTCATTATGTGTTACAGTTTTTTAACCAACTTGCTAACAGAAATCATTCTCTTTAAGAATTTATACCATAAAATATTACAAGCTCACTACAGGCTTAATTCCTTTAGCCAAAAAAGCAGCCTTATTTATGGTTGAAAGCCAGATCAAGTGTATGCAAGAACCAGAAAAAGCCAAAGAACAGCAGAGTAGCATTTTTGGCATAATGTCCAAAATTGAATTATGAAGCATATTATTGGTGAATTTCAGTCAGATTTCACAACAGAAGTGAGGAATTCAGAAGCACGAGTTCCTCTTATTCTGGACCCTACTTTCCTACTTGTTTGTTCTTAAATATCCTATTTGTATCCTGAATTGAACTCTATTACATAAAAACCACTGTGATTCATTGCAATACTATAAACAAGAAATCTTATAACCTAATACAAATATAAAACAATACAAAAATCCATATATGGTATGTTGATTTATAAAGTAGAAAAATTAAATTTAGAAAATTTATATACAGTATCTCTGTTAAAGTTAATGCCAAAGCATAGCTGAAATATGGGTAAAATAAATGCAGCTGCTTGGTAGCACAGTCAGCTTTCACAAATTTCTAGGCATTTGGTATGAAACACGTAGAAGGGTTTTTGTGAACAAAAAATTGCACTGCTCTCTAGATGCTGACATGTATCTTGAGCAAGATCCTGATACTGAACAAGCATTATCAATCTGAGGGAAGCCCATGTGTTGGGATGCACATATACAGAATTTCTTTTATATGGCTGAGAACAGTGGATATTCCCAGCCTCTGTGTATGTACAGATATGTTCTCATAGAAGTGTCACTCTGTCAGTTGAGGTGCATGACCTGCTTATGCATGAGAACTCTTAATCACATAGGTACCAAATGCCTAAGCTGCAGAGTTTCATCCAAATACATTCATTGTTAGGGACTGCCCAGGCAAATCATTCTTAATGATTGTCTGGCATTGAAGTGTAGGAAGAACCAAACATATTTATGTAGAAGAGACAGAATCCATTTTAGTCTGGAGCGTGTCTTTTCTGTATACTGCTAATGAAACATAGAAGACAGAAGAGACCATTTTTTAAACCAAATGCACCTTTTGGATCTCAGCCACAGTTCAAATGAGCATGAGGTTTATTGTACTTATTCACTAAGCAACTGTATCTAACCTATTGAATTGCAGAGAAGTTACCTTTACATGGAGAAGGCCTGGGAAATGATAAAAGTTTAAATTTTATCAAGAAAATCAAGAGTTCACACACTTCAACACAGTAACAATTTTATGATATCTGCATCATGTATTCAGAATGATCTGTGTATTATAGATCATGTTTTTTTACAAGCATGAGACTTATAATCATGTGAAAAAACAGGGTTTTTTTTAATATTTCTTAGCTTAACTGGTTTATCTTCATAGTGACTCCCAGAGCAGGGGTGGAGGGAATCTGTCTTGCAAACTGCCACCCCATAGCATGCAGCAGTTACTGAAGATTTATTCATTATGCAACAGGCAATAATAAAAGCTAATTAGATTTACCATTTATGTGGGCTCAGCATTTTCTAAGCCTTGTTAAATGGTAAACAGTTTGCGGGGGGGGGGGGGGCAGGGATACACTTACAGAGGAGTTTCAGATGTGCTGGCTCTTTCCCACATAAAGTGTACCATGTCTTTAATTAGCAAAACCTTTAGCCCCTGGTTCAGGAATCCATTTTAGCTTTGGAAGGCACAGTCTGAAAAGTTGTCAAGAGCCTTGTTAAGGCTCTGAACTGTCAAAGAAACACAGGGACCTTAGAAAATATTTGCTGCTTCTTAGATTATATTTAAGAGAGTTGTTTCCTATAACCACAGAAATGTGCAAAACGTGCTTGTCATGCCATCATCCAAGCAATTAATCCACTATGATCTTTGAATTAACTAATCAAAAGTTCTAGCAGGAAAAGTTCCCCAATCCTAAAGTATTGCCTGTTGTTTCCTCCTAAGTAAATTAGCCAACACAAGCACTGCTGATTGCACCTTTTATTTTGAATATTGTACTGAGCTACTCCATATAGTGAGATTAATTCATTAAAGGGGGAGGAATTCTGACTTATCTATTTAGTCATTATAACCAAACTATTATTCCTTTTGTTTTGAGCCATCCTGATCCAGCCTTAGAGGCAGTGAACTTTCAAATGGCTATCTATAAACAAAATGGTTTGGTTTGGGCAACCCAGCAGCCCAGCCTATGGGCAATCAAAGATAGGCAGGAGAGAATGCATAAGCTTCCTGCAGTGCGCCTGCCACCTCCACAGTCATTGGACTTCCACAGCCACCTCCACAGACTCCCCAGAGTCATTTGCATAGCCTCCAATCCTCTGTTCTGCCATTTAAGTAGTGCCACCATCTGCATTCTTTTTGGACAGATGTTAATATGCCAAAGCATCATTTTTAAAAATCTCTTCAGTAAACCTATTACAATGAATATACTGCCCCATGTGCCTAGAAGTAGGTATATTAACCAAGGCACTGAATATTCACATGAGTTTTGTGAATAAAAACACTAAAAACACTGTATATAACACATGTTATGTAAAAATAACATGTACCTAATAACTAGCACATGCCTAAGTTACTTTTCTCAATTTAGAAGTAGCTATTCTCTATTTGTAAAAGTAGAATGCGTAAATCCACTGTGTACACCGTACCTCTGATTAAGGCTTTCTTTGATCTGCTTTGATTGTTGCACATGCAAGTCGAGCACTTGTAAATGAAACTGTTTGACAACAACCCACGATTCTCAGAACGCTGCTTTCTGCCCACTTTATAATCTTCAGTACTATGACCTTTATGGCATAATTTATCCTGGAAACAGAACAATTTAAAAATGTGTCTTTTATTACCTTTACAATATTCAGAATCATTCAGATTTCAGCAGGGACTATAGCTCAGTGGCAGAGCTCTGCATACTATGGAAAGTCCTAGATTAAATCCAGGGCATTTTCTGTTAAAAGATAAAATAGCTGCAAATATGAAAGACCACCACTGCCATCTGAGACCATGAAGACCTGCTGCCAATTAAAATAGACAATGCTAGGCTAGATGTACGACCTCACCTGTTATAAAGCAATTTGTTATGTTCATCTGCACAGCATTTTATGTACAGTGGAAGGGGGATGTTATTTTAAAACATAGCACTTAAATCTGGCACCCCACAGGCATCAGGGAGCAGCAAAGACAAATTTCCTATCTTCAGTCATGGGAAGAAGCAATCAGTTTGCTGGAACAAACAAGCAAGCGAAACTACACTAGTATTTGAAATTTCATTGACAATAATGGGTTTCTACTCTTTAAAGGATCATATGATGTTCATGAGCATCTAAGCAGGATCAGCCTGTGGGATCACATGCTTTCCCCTCTGCGTGCCTTTTCGGGATGCAAATTTGCTGTGTTGGCCCTAACTGTGGTTAAACCCTGTATCAGTATTGATGTTAACTTCTATTAGGACTCAAGAAGTTTCTACCTAATCTAATGAATCTAAAAGAAGTTTTGATCCATAGTTACAGCTCCTGAGTCAATCAGGAACTGTGATTCCTTCCAACCAAGTTTTACGTCAATGGCAATGTAACACCTACCTGAAGTTAATCTTAGTGAAGGATATTCATATTGCAAAAGAGACAGGATGACAAGATGGAATAAATCACCTCGTTTTTCCTCATTAATTTATAATAGTTGATCAGCTATTAATGTTATATTTATACTGGCCTCATGAGAATTCCCATCACAGCTGCACTGGCAAACTAATGTATAAGAGTGATCGGATGATACCCAAGCTTTTTCTTTAAATTTTACTGCCACCATTCAATTGTTGCACTTCTGAAATTCTATATGTTGATTTGATGAAAAACTCATCAGCATCCCAGTAGTTTAAAAATAAAAGGAATTTAGTTCCCATGGGGAGTGAAATAATTCCCATCAGGCATTTATATCCAGGTTTTAGACATGCTGAGCTTCCATTTTTTGTATGTTTCATACATTTTGGCTGTATTAGGAGCTAATTGTTATATCATTTCTTTCTATCACAACTGACACAACTTCACAAAGAACATTCGAAGTTTTCTTTGAACTTCTCTTTAGTTTTTTTCCCATTACTAGACAAAGTAAATGTGAATTATTTGAACTGATAGAAGAGAAATGCAGTGGTTAAAGATAAGGGACAAAAAAGCAGTCCTTGCATTTAAAAGAAATCCCAAAGATGCATCATTTGAACCAAAATCCCACTGACAAAACAGTCTCTAGGATATGCCAAGCCATTACACACCCCAGGAAGGTTTGCTAAAGTACTAAAATGCTCCAGGCCTGGTTTCAAATGGGAATAATGCCAATTTAAAATGCTTTTTCAGAGCATAAGGAAAACCTGAAAAGTAATAAGATCCTGGCATATTTGCTTTGTCCTCCCTCACAGCAATGCTAAATGATTCCCGTAATATAATTTGCAGTACTGAAGTAATTTGGACTTTGTCTCTCTCATTTATATTTAATAAATTTACAATTTTATATTAAAAATAGAGGAAAGAATGAATAAACTTAGGTAAGCAGGAGTAATGGGCTTCTTTTTCCTCTTATATGAAGATTTTTTGGGCACATGGATCCTTATTTTTTAAAAACAACACAATGCTGGCCTTCCTGGGTCAGACCAAAAGATTGCTCAGTTCTATGCTCTGTCTCTGACAGTAACCCAACAGATGCTCTTAGAAAGCTTAAAAGCACAGAATAAACGTGATAGTCATTCTTTGTTCATTTCTAGTAACTGCAGTCAAATATACTGTCTCTTCATATAGACATATATTAAGATAGACCACTGACATTAGACTCTAATCCATTTTAAAGTATTCTGCTAGTTCCACTACACCTAGTTCTATTGAACGCCAAGAGCTACTTCTGTGTAAACTTAGAGAGGTCAGGTTGTCAGGTAGTAGATTATATTTTTGGTAAGCAGTGGTAATTCTGTAAAGAGTAGG